AAAACCTGCTAAACTCTTAGAATTTAGTGAAAAAATGGCAAAATTACGTGTAGATATAGCATTGTTCTCTGAAACCCATTTTGCTAGGGAATAGAGAGGATACTTGAAAGGATATAGATTTTATAATTCACGACATCCTTTTAATAACGCTAGGGGGGAGCCTCTATTGCTATCAGGGAAAACATTAAACACTCCGTTCTTGAAATTGTAGAAGAAGAACGTATCCAAGCGGCGATTACTCAAATTGAGTCATCGCTGGGGCCATTTAATGTCAGCGCTTTATACGCTCCAACGCGTCATCGATGCTAAGTTGACGATTATTCTGGTCTACTTGATAAAGTGGGTCCTCGCTTCCTCATCNNGGGGGGGACTTCAACTGTAAAAACGTCAGATGGAGTCGAGATTAACTAACCCGAAAGGTGATCATCTTGAAACTGCAGTAAATCTTATCGGAGGTGATTTTATCTCTCCGGGTAAACCCACCTTCTATCCAGGTAATCCATTGAAAGAGCCAGACGTAATTGATTTTTTCATCTTCAATAATCTCAATCTCAACAACAAAACTTCTTGCAATGTGTTAGAGGGGAAAAAGATCATGTGCTGGTTTTCTTATCTCCGGTTTCTATATACTCCAGTATTAGTTAAACGCCCACCCTGTCTAATTTCTACTCAAACAGACTGGAAAAAATTTCGAGAATTATTAACTTCCCGTATTAAGTAATAACTCGACTTCAATGAACGACTGCTCCACACTTGATAAGGAGGCAGAGTCATTAATTTCGAGAACCCAAGAAGCTGCAAAAGCAAGCACGCCGGTTGCTGGAAATTTTAATAATTTTCATGATAAATGCACTCTTCCAAAGGAAATACTCAGCCTTATTGACCGTAAAAACAAAGCGGGAAGGAGGAGAAGGATTACTCACCATGAATCTGATAAAAATCTCTACAATAGACTAAACAAGGCAGTTGAGAAACGTATTAATGAATTTCGTAATGAAAAATTTGAAAAATTTGTAGCTAATCTCAGCCCAAGCGAAGCTAATGATTACACCCTTTGGAAAGCGACAAAATCCCTAAAACGTCTGTTCCTAGCTAGCTTCCCAATTAGAAAACCGGACGGTGAATGGGCAAATAATAGCCAGGTAAAAGCCGATACTATTGCCGATCACCTTGAAAAAGTATTTCAACCTAACCTCTGAGAATCTCCAGAGAAGGAATGCGAACTAGAGGAAGAAGTTGGTAATATTAATTTTCTCCCTGCAGAAAAAATCAACAAAATTATATATGACGAAATTTTCAAGGAAATTAAATACAGGGTGATCCAAAAGTCCCTTCCACCCCCTCTAACTTTTTACCTAATTGAGATAAAGATTTGAAACTTGGGGGATATTCCTAGGTCAAAGGGAGCTACTTTTCGGCTCCCCTAAAATTTTCGGGGGGGCCCCCCTCGGAGGGGCAACGGCCCCCAACTTTGAATTTTCAAATGGGAAGACTCCCTTTGTGATAGCTCGTTCGAAAGAGCATAAAAAAAGAAAGCTTTTCGCGCAAACCCGAAGTCAATATCTCAAACCGTTTCAAAATGGCGGCCGGTTAAAGTTCAAAATGGCCGAAATTTCACACCGGTTATTTGTCGATGGATTTGCGCGAAAATCGGTAGGTAGGGGTATTTCGACACGAGAAAAACGAATTTGACGTTAGATTTTCAAAAAAACCGAAATTTCCAAAATGGCCACCGGTTAAAGTTCAAAATGACCAAAAATTTATTTTTGTATAAATCTAAGTTCAAATTTGTTTATCTTATGCCAAAATACTCTCAAATTTCAAGTTTTAGGCAAATCCATCGGGAAGAAACCAAGGTGACAATTTTCGGCCATTTTAAACTTTAACCGGCGGCCATTTTGGAAATTTTGGTTTTTTTGAAAATCTAACGTCAAATTCGTTTTTCTCGTGTCAAAATACCCGTACATACCGATTTTCGCGCAAATCCATCGACAAATAACCGGTGTGAAATTTCGGCCATTTTGAACTTTAACCGGCCGCCATTTTGAAACGGTTTGAGATATTGACTTCGGGTTTGCGCGGAAAGTTTTCTTTTTTTAGGCTCTTTCGAACGAGCTATCACAAAGGGGGTCTTCCTATTTGGAAATTGCAAGTTGGGGGCCGTTGCCCCCCCAAGGGGGCCCCCTGAAAATTTTAGGGGGGCCAAAAAGTAGCTCCCTTTGACCTAGGAATATCCCCCAAGTTTCAAATCTTTATCTCAATTAGGTAAAAAGTTAGAGGGGGTGGAAGGGACTTTTGGATCACCCTGTATAAAACAAAAATCAAGAAAAGACCAGGTTTTGATCTTATCTCAGCAATTATCCTCAAGCAACTTCCTCCTGCGGCAATCAAAAAATTAGAAGCACTCTTTAATGCAGCATTGTCATTGAAATACATCCCTACAATGGAAATTGGCTGAGGTGATTGTTATTTTAAAATCCGGAAAACCTCCTTCAGCCCCTAGTTTGTACCGCCCTATCTCCTTACTTCCCCTGATAAGCAAACTTTTCGAAAAGTTATGTATTAAACGTTTCCTGACAATTGTAAATAAGAAAAAGTTACTTCCTAATGAGCAGTTAGCTTTCAGGGCTAAACATAGCACAATAGAACAATTAAACCGGATCTCTTCTAATATTGAGAAGGCGTTAGAGGAGAAACAGTTTTGTGATGTAGTTTTCTTGGATGTCGCCCAGGCATTTGACAAAGTCTGGCATTCCAAAGTGGCTTTTAAACTTTCTAAAATCTTGCCTGGGAACCACGTGCAATTAATAATGTCTTATTTAGCAGATAGATCTTTTAGGGTTCGATTTGAAGACTCTTACTCTGAATTTAGGAAAATAAGAGCAGGGGTACCTCAAGGTACAGTACTCTCCCCCCTAATCTTCAGTCTTTTTACCGCTGACGTACCTAAACCTAAAAAAGGGAAAATCGGGATCTTTGCGGACGACACGGCCGTTGCGTCCTCTGCGCCCACATATGAGGAGACAGTCACCAACATCCAAGAGTGCCTGGACGACATCCAGGATTGGACTGAGCGCGATCGTACGGCGCTTAACGCCACCAAATCAGTTAACGTGGTCTTTACCTTAAGACCATATGTCTATGTCCCTGTGATCCTAAATAATTATTTAGGATCACAGAGACATAAACATATGGTCTTTGTTCGAGATAGTCCTTGGTTCTCATGAGAACCAAGGACTATCTCGAGGTTACAGGAATAAAGAGGTGAACTGGAGTGAAGGATAAGGTGGAAGCACCCTGAGGGTCCGCTGCGTCACGTTCATCTGAGCCAATACATGTTCCGTGAGACGCATTGCAATTTTCCATTTTAGATACGTTATTTGTAGTGAAAGGAAACTTAGATACTAGACAAATTTTAAAAGAAAAAATTGAGTTCTGCCTGTGTAAAATTAAAAAAAACCTCTTAAAATGGGCCAAAAATGGCAACAATGTACCGTAAGGCCCCTTAAAATTCATTGGAGACCTTTCAAAAGGCCAGAAATGGAGAGTGCGCAAAAAAATACATTGGAATCATCTGCTGAAAGAGTGATAACAGTCAAAAAGTTGACGAAAATAGCTTTTTTTCGATGCCAGGATTTTGGGTTGGAGACGTTGATGCACCTTTGCATGGGCTCCGTTCGGTAAAATATTTGGCATTAAGTCTACCTAGGACTAGTCCTTTGAAAATATGAAACATTCAGCAAAATCCAGGTGGGGCCGGAAAAGGCCCAAAACGATACTCCTCCTTTAGGAGACTCTCAAGACGAAAATGATTTTGTCAAACAGCTATATTACCAGAGCGTGCCATCATTTTCACATTAATTAATATATGGAGATGAGGCAATAATGGGGATCGATCATTTCTTCAAAAACGCATTTGACTGGGACGTCAGTCCAAGCGGGTGGAGGAAAGTGACAACCGTGGATCTCCTTCCGCGATTTGACTCGCTGAAGTAGCAAAAGTTTGCCTTTACTTCCTAAGAAGATTATCGGTGGCGTAGGGGTCTAAAAACTGCTCAACGATAGTATAGTTCGAGTTCCGAATCGCTATGAGCCCACTTCTGTTTTATCCTTATACTTTCATTGCATATAAATTTCACTGATGTTTTTGTTTTATTCTCTCTGATTGCTTAAGTAATTATATCTTCATTTCTTTCCTTCCCCTATCATTTTTTTCCTTTTTTGTAGCATCTGTGTCCATTAAAAATTATTATTTTAAAATAGCTTTCCCTCGTATAAATTTGATGCTTCAAACGGAACCGATTTTTTTTAATAACATTTCCAGCTAAATCATGGGTTTTTCCAGGTGGGCAGCCTATCGTCCCTCCAGACTGTAGTGTTGTCTGATAAGATGCTTTTTTAGCACTTTTCCCTGTTCAAGACCATGTAAAATATTCACAGTTATCGCACCATCTGGCAACGCTTTGAGTGAAGAAGAAAAAAGTGGAATCGACTAAAACGTGAAATCCTTCCACTCTTATTCAATGACTGCACCGTCTTGACGCCTTCTACAAAGAAATGGTACACACAGGCGGAGGCAGTGTCGCGTTGGAGCTCTTGGATGGCAGATGCTTTTGTCACGTTCTTTGATTTTGAATTTCAACATACTAATAAAAATGTTCAACCTCGGATCTACCCCCCGGATCGAGTCACCCTCAGATATGAATGAAGATGGTCTGATAGACAGGATACCTGCAATTTTGTTATCTTACTCAAGAAAAAGGAGGTTCTTTTGGAAAATCTCATTTAGCCACTACTTTGAAAAATACGATTTGAATATTTTTGGTGACTAATTTTTTGGTAAACTATTTTTTCCTGTCTCATTGATCCGGAGGACCCGACCGAAAGAAAAGATTAGGCTAATTTGTTCGGGGTTAAATGATATATTTACTGGATAATTGGTTCAGGTTACTGACTCATTTTCATAAATGTTTTTGCATGAGAATAAGGTCACAACAACGTCTTTTTTTCAAACATAAAAAAGAATTGTATATTTCCTTTCTAACAATTAACACTTTGATCAGTTAAAGAAGACAATTAAGGATAATCTGATCGAGATCTCCACTTGAAATTTTCTCCAGGCAATAAAATGCATGATTCATAGCTCAGAATATTCCATCATAATTATTTGCAAGGGATCAAAAAAGATAAACTTGCATTATTTAAACAAGAAAACCAACATAATGTTTCACCACCATTGTGCAAGCCATTGCTGCCTGGCATGTTTCTTCCAAACATCTGTTTTCATTTTTTTAGGACTGTTGTGATGATTCTCTTGCAATTCTAGACGTTTTTCATCGGGCTTTAGTTCTGGTATTATTCGTAATACTCCAGTGGCGTGATCGAGGTGGTATGATGAATAATCATCATTGACTGGTAAGCCATCTGGTGTTGTGATAGGTGTGATTTTTATCAAATGTTTTATGTACCAAAGTTTTGCATTCATATCAGTTGTATTCTTGACGATGGCATAGCTCTGAAAAAAAAAAAATATTTTATTTAGTAGATAGGAATAAATTATCCCTACTTTGGAATTGATTAAAGAGGCATCTTAAAAAATGGCTTTTCGTATCATCTGCACTTATTCTTAGCTAGGGTGGAGCGTTTTTGGGCTTTTTTTTTTTTTTGAAAATGGACATAGCGCAGTAGTTGTGAAATGGTCTAAAACTAACGCCTGAATTTTCCTAAATTTTTTCGTCAACGTTTAGGCCTCCCGGATTGACATTGAAGTCAAATTTAGCGGAAAATGCAGGTTTTTTGACGATAACTTGGCAACAATGGCAAATACGACAAAAATGCATAGAATCAGAAAGATTGGAAATTAAATTTCTGATAAAACATCTTCTTATCATTTTTTCTCCTAGTGCAATATTTCACGGCTAAAAACCACAAAACCTTCATTTTATTGGATATATCGAAGAAATTAAGCACTCTAATTACCAGATATTTGACTTTTGACGCCTAAAATGTTATGATAATACGTGAGATTATACCTAGGCATGACTTAGAAGAATAGAGGCGGACATGTATGCATTAAAAAAAGTAATATATATTCGCATCATAATAATAATTGTGCTATCTAAGCAGCAAGCAGCTCCTAGCGTTACCCAGAACTCACCACGTGGAGGTGGCTGCTTCACGAGTTCCTCTTTTTTTTTTTTTTCTTTTCTGTTTTTTTTTTGTTTTTTTCTTTTTGTTTTTTTTTTCTTTTCTGTTTTTTCTTTTTATATTTCATTCGTTTTTTTCTTTCTTCTCTTGTCTTTTCTTTTTCTTACTTCTTTTCTGTTGGTGTTCATACATTTTTTTTTTCTTTTTTAATGTTATATTTTTAGTAAATTTTTTAATGAGTTATCATTTTACATTTTACAGGTATTACATTTTGAATTATGCCAACAAATAAATGAATTTTAATTACAATAAATGGAAGAATTAAAGAGATTTGAGAAATTCGGTAGATTCTCACCAATACTTTGCAGGTCATTTTGAGGATCCAGCAGCTTCCATCGTGTCAATGTAGTGTCTCGACGATTTTTCCCGTGGTGTCGGATCGAGCTTACGAGCAAAAAGTTTGGCTCTGATGTATCCATCTCTTGCATCACCACCGTAAACTGCAGTGGATGCCTCTGTCACTAGTTTAACTGCTCGCTCCACCGCCTGCGTGTGGCAAGGAAATCGCTCCACTCTTCTTTCAGTTGAAGTAATTAATGATTTTAGATCCTCGTCCGACAAATGGGAGAAAATAGGAGGCGAAGTTATTGTCACAGATTTCCAATTGATAAGTTTGTCGTAACTTGAAGCTTTAAACTTCAATTTTGGAATCGTGAAGGCTCTAACTGCTGATGGAGGATTCTTCCTCGCCTCGATGATTCTCTTTACGGCTAATTTTCGGAGAGCAATATTGTCATCGGCGATCATGGCTACTAATATATTTTCCGGGTGTGCGAAGTAAGCGTTACGTTGGATGACAGGGTCAATTACGGCCTTTAGTTCGTCGTTGAGATATCTCGAACGTTGTATTGACGCGAACAGATTCTTTGCTCCATCAGTGCACATATAGTTTGACTTGATTGTGAACCAAAGGGGAGCATAAACCTTAATCACAAATTCAGTCAATACTCTCAATTCTAGAGAGGGATTTTGAGTTCCAACATATAGTCTGGCTACTCGGCTAGCTAGAGTTATCCATCGAGCTTTGGACATTTTCCCTGGATTTCGATTTGCCAAGTCTCTCGAGCACTCACCGGAAACGACCGCTTTGACAATTAAAAGTAAGTAACGTTGATCAGAGCTCAAATCAGAAGGTACATTGTCCAATTGTGAAATGTCGGCATTTATAATTTCAAAATTAACAATTGGCAATTTTTCACAATTTACTAAAGCTTTGCCAATGGGTCCCGAGTAGCTTTCCGGGCCGGTCGATTTGCCGTCAAGGTATTCAAATAGGTGGCGCAAAGGCAATTCATTATTATGTAGTAGGCAGATGAGCCACTGTAATGCTCGATTAAAATGTTTTTCCAATAACTTTATTATGCCATTCCTCACACCCGTATTTACATTTGTACCATCGCACCCAACAGCTTGAATCAAGTCCTGGTTAAAAGAATGATCGACGAGAAATTTGATGATGCATTGAGAAATTCCTACTGCAGAGCCTGAGATGGGAGCAACGTGTCCAATATATTCACTTCCGGGTTCTTGCACTAGAACGATGTGTTCTTCCGATTTAGTTTTTCTGTAATATTTGTTATCCTTTTTCTCTTGAATGCACGTCAAATCTTTACGCCCGTCAAAGTAGAGTCCTCTGATAATTTTTCCTTTGGGTAGCTCTTCTTCTTGTAGGTCCTTCCTTTGGTGCTGTCTTTTTCGTCGAATTCTGTCTCTACTCAAAATAGGATTTTCAATCTGAATAGTAGGCTTCACATCTTTCATGAAAGCAGAGGCAAGATGCGCAGCTTTACGGTCGGAAATTCCAGCTCTATCACATGCCATTGCAAAATTTTTGAGAAGCAATCTCGTACCCTTTTTTGTGTCATCTTGAACTTCCACTTCTGATTCCGTCTCCGTGTGGGATTCAGTGGTTGTTGAGCTGGACTCCGTTATTTTTGTAATTTCTGGATTTAAAAGAAAATCTGGTCTTTGCTTTCGCTGCACACTTTCGGTTTTTTTTCTCTCCTCACGACGCACATTTTGTTTGGTGACAACGCGATCAATTCCGCCAATCCTCATTCCTCTAGGTCCTCGTTGATCCTTGATAAAATCACGTTCCCGAATTGGAATTTTTTTTGATTTTTCGCACCGACATTCTGTAAGATTTTTACATTTACACGCGGAAATATCGAAAAGTTTCTGCGAATTTTTAAGAAAATCCACTTTCAGCTTTAAAAACCCGGATTTGTTTTTAATGTTACACTTTTTCGGTCCTTCCGATGGCGCACTTTTTAAAATGTTCTTGTATTTATTGAAGTATCTTTCTAACAACACGAAAATCCCGCGGTCGGTCATCACTGGTACAGATGCTTTCTGCCAAATATCTTTCAAATCCTGGATCACTTTCGAAGCAACGTCTTTAAAACTAAAGTCTCTCGCTGCATTCTCTCGATACCACAAATAACACAACATCACATCTTCATGCGTCGGAAGTACGGAGCCACTAAATGAACGCGGATTGCCGAAAATCGGACACTTCTTCATATTCACCTCCCGCACAGTCAATGATTTTCTCGACATTTTAACAGAGAAGGAAAAGAGAAATATTTAACACTAAATACGAGAAAAACTTAATAAAAGGGCGCGAGACATACTGATCGAATTAGTCCAATGATAATTTAACAACTGAAACAGCGGATAGCACAGCACTAACGAGTGATCAGAAAACACGAAATCAACTGAACAAGAACTGAGCATGTGCCTCAAGGGAAAGTGCTTCGAAGTCAACCCACCCCTTTGGTGCGAATTTCCAGGGAAATCCACCCCGACCGCGCCGCGCCGGCACCGGCGCCAGCTCGAACGATGCGAAGGTGCTATTGTCAGTACCTTCAGTCCTCTTGGAAACCAAAACATTCGCGTATACAATTTGGCAATCACGCTACAAGCAATTCTCCTGCCAACGACACTTTACTATGCCTCTTCGTCAAGATTTCTCTGCAGGTCTCACCGTCTCATGATGAGAAGATCTATCCAATGTCCGATAAAATGAAGGTTTTGTGGTTTTTAACCGTGAAATATTGCACTAGGAGAAAAAATGATAAGAAGATGTTTTATCAGAAATTTAATTTCCAATCTTTCTGATTCTATGCATTTTTGTCGTATTTGCCATTGTTGCCAAGTTATCGTCAAAAAACCTGCATTTTCCGCTAAATTTGACTTCAATGTCAATCCGGGAGGCCTAAACGTTGACGAAAAAATTTAGGAAAATTCAGGCGTTAGTTTTAGACCATTTCACAACTACTGCGCTATGTCCATTTTCAAAAAAAAAAAAAAGCCCAAAAACGCTCCACCCTATTCTTAGCATTTTTTTCTTCGCTCTCCTGAGGAGCCAAACATTCTGAATTTGAGACGCATTCGGAGTAAAAACTAACTCTCTACAGAAGCTCAAGTTTAAAAGGTAAAAAATAGAAGGCATTTTGGCTTTAGTGACAACTTCCTTCAATCATTAGGAAGTGCCCAATGGACCTCTGAAGGGGATAAAATTTAAGGCACGACAAAGCATGTTACAGTATCAAAAAGTTCTCACAGAACTTGTTGAATATATTAAACAGCTGAAGTTCGAATTCAGCCCATGTGAATGGTAAGCATTTAGTTATGACTATAAAATCAGTGAATTAAAAGTTCTGGTAATAAAAAAATCCAAAATTGACACTATGATAAATAAATAGATTTGAGTTTCACCAAAAATATTTGGCTTTTTTGACGGACGAAAGGTGCTATTGAGAGGATGAGAACAGTCAGAGAAACACTATTCCATCGGAAGGCAAACTAAAATTACTTGATAGCTAATTTGATTCAAGCAGATTTGGGCTTTTCTCAGTGAGTGGGGAGTTTCGTAGTAAGTTATTTTCTCATAAGTGAATTCAATTAGGAAATTTTTATTGATCTAATGCACAGAGTGTCGCAGATGCTTAGACTGGGACACTGGGCATATTTCTCTGTTACTTTCAATTGGACATAGTCGAGGATCGCTGGGACGAATACCGATTGACCCAATCTAATCCGAATTTCATCATCCTGAAGTCTCTTTGGTGCCCCTTGCATTGTAAAAGGGGGGTTCTTACTTTGAGAATAAGGGGTTCTGTCACAATTTTGAAATTATTTTGCCAAAATCAGCTAATCCTCAGAGCCTTGGGGCCTCTCTGGTGGGGCACGAGGCAAGCCATTTACAGTAGACTTGCTTTCATAAGTTGAGGGTCCTTCTCCACTGCACCAGCAAGTTTCAGAGGGTTTTCGGACCATCAGATTCTGATTACTTGCAGTCAATTA